CCTGTCCTGGTCATGTAATGTTGTAGTTTGTGCCAAAGCCAATTATGAGCTTTGGTGACAGACACTGAATTTCATTGCACTGTAAAATATTCAGTAATATGTTCCTGTGTTATTTTCATTTCCATTAAAATTATTTCACCTGTGCCAAGCACTCACTATACAAACTTGCACATAGCAAAGTATAAGCACTCCAAACACGACTCAAGCGAACCACGACAGTAATTTTTAGTATTCGTGAATACAAGTAATAATGATTGATTTTCCTTCCGACTATTGTCTTTATACTGTAGGAACTGCATTTCAATCGCACTGCCATTTTTACTCCCCGTATTCTGGTTTTCGTGCTTGGATTAAACTGACTGGCACCTTAATTAAAGTCATTGGCAATTGGATTAAGCACGGTGGCACTTGGATAAAACTTAATGGCACGCGCCCTGAGTGAGTTGGCGCTTGGATTAAATACGTTGGCGCTTGGAATAAATGTTTGGCACAAGGATTAAATAGCTCGGCACTCAGAATATTTCAATGGCTTGCAGATTATTTAAGCTGGCACTTGGATTAAAGTGAGAGGGAAAACCTGTAGAGGAAATGCGCCAGGGCAACAAGCGATTTTGAACACATCCACTTTGTTATTCTGCAGTTAATCACCCACCTTTAATCTCGCTCTCTTGAAGGAGAGTATGCAAGTGATATTTGGCATGCCCAATGGGAAGACATAATTTTTTTTTCTTCCACTCGCTTAGTTTTCAGGCCTTTAATGCCCTTTTCCCCCTTACTTGCACAAACTGTAAAAGCTCTAATAGTATAGCAGAAGAGTTGCTTTTAAAAATAGGGACCATTTCCCTCATACAAAGTACTTTTCAACTACGCCATTGAAGGGAGTGAATATCTGGCTACTGTAAAGATTGCACAGTTTTTGAATTCTGGGAAATACATAAGGCTGTGTCAGTTGTAAACACGTTTTGAAGAAGTAACCGTTGCTTGAGTTTTGCCTTCACGACTAAAATGCGATAGCGTAATTGGACCGTTTTTTGCATTACCTTCTCAAGTGCTAGCCATGCTGCCATGAACTTCAGTGCACCTGTAAATTGGCCTTTGCAAACTATCCTGCAAGAGTACTGTTGTGAAGTTCCCACTGCTTGTTCCTAAGGCAGTATGTGAGCCTGTACAGCTGCACACGTTGTAAATGCTGTTGTTGAATGTAATAATTATGCCAGTGAACCTTTGAACAAATCATTCATTATGCAGTTGACAATGGTGTGTTTCTATGCTTTCGTCATGAAATATTCGGTTTTAATGAGACTCTTTCCACTTCATACAGCCAAATCCCAATAATTCGAACTTCAAGGGGCTCGAGAATTTCTTCGAATCAAAAGAAGTTCAAAATAATGAAAGCTAAGTAAAGAGGGGGCTCTCCATGCAGTGGCGCATGTGCATTGAGCTAACACACGTTGGGGAAGTTTCAGAAGACTTACATTTATTCACAAATCACAGGACATCCGTTATTAATTAATAACTAGTAATAGGTGATGCGCGACTGTACAAGTTTGCCTTGCAGCGAGTCAATCAATTTTGCACGTAGCTTGCGAAGCATTTCTACTTCGGCTTTAGCATTCTCCTGGCAAGAGAAGTTGCGCGCGACAATGTCCAGCGCCGACACTACCTTAAGACGAGGACAACAACAAATGCATACCGTAGTGGGGCCTCCCCACTACGCAGCCGCAGCATGGCCAACACGTGACGAGAAAGGGGGAGCGTCTCCACGCGGAAAGCAGCAGATCGGCATTTGAGAGAAAACCAACACTTCCCAGCAGCTTTTTTTTTCTTTGCTCTCTTCGCACTCGTTGAAGGAGAAGGGTTACGTGGCAGGGAGGGGAATGGGGGAAGCATGGCACCAACACATGAGAGACCCCCCTCCTCAAGGCGCAGAGCCGCGCTCCCTCTAAGGGCAAGGGCTGCAGAAGATAGTGCCTTTTTTTTTCTTTCAACCACGCATTCATCCAACCCCGCGACAGCTTCTCTTTTTTTTGCCTCTCTCTCTTCGCGCACAGCGTTAAAAGGAGAAGGGTTTTTACATGGCAGGGACGGAAAAAGGAGAAGCATGACACGGGTGCGTCGCCAATCGGTATTTGAGAGAGAGCAAGCATTCCACCGCAGCCTTTTCTTTCCTTTTCATTTCCTGCGCGGGCAGCGTTGAGGTGTCGCAGGTGGCGCCGTGGGATTGGGCGGCGTGCTGATAGCATTTTTGAAGTGCAGTATGTTCGAATTAACCGTCGGAAGTGCTTGCACGTTCGAATTTCCGGGCGTTTTCGCTTATTAGAATACACATAGCTTTGACGGAACCTCATAGTGAGTTCGAATTAATCGAAAGTTTGAATTAAGTGTGTTGGAGTTAATGAGATTCAACCGTAGTAACATTGTTACAGTGTTCTTTTCCGAAGTAATATCGATCACGGGCATGACTTTGTAGCAGAACATCTGCTTGCCATGCACAAGTCCTGGGTTTTATTCCCACTTGAAGTGAAAATCTTATTATTTATTTATTCGCATCTTTTTCGAATTTTTTCTTCTGAATAACGCAGGTTTTTCGCTTGAAATAAATGACACCGTCGCTGACACCAGCATTTTCATAAAATGGCCTCTTTGACTTGGTCTCAAAGCTCTGCTTAGTTTTTTCCTACCAAATTTGATAAAAGTTGATGTGCTTGTTTAGTTTGTTCTAACAAGTGTAGATTTGCAGTTATTTTTTCTGTGGGTTCAGCATTTAATCATATAATTAAGAAAACTGTACCTTTTGTTCTTACTACAATAGGTAAACAACTACCTCACACAAATATGCTAATGGCATATGCATCAATGGCAGGAAGCACAAGGCTCACAATGAAAAAAGCACTTTTATGATTGTGTCCTCCTTTTTTAAGTTCATTGAATTCTACTGCTTTGAACATTGCTTATCTACCATAACACTGCTGGCTTTTTTTTTTCAACAACCCTCTTTTTTTTTTTTTTTTTTCAGAAAAGTTGATGTCGATCAAGGGGGGAGGGTTCGTCATGTGGGAGAAAAAGTCAAGGAAGTTATAAAAGCAAAAATTTCGCATGACAGTATTAAAAAACTTGCTGTCCAATCACTACTGGCCTTCGATTTTGTGGCAGGACTACGGAGCCCCTATTTGAGAACTTTGCTTTCCAGATAATGAAGTTGTCCTTGTATTGGCCAGCAAGATGCGGGGTATATCTTTTTTGTAGCCGAAAGCTGTACACGCACTACATCAACAGCCACGCCGCACGTGCTGGGGCACTAGGTGCACGCAAGTGGAGGGCGAAAGAGTGTATCAGTGGCACTCTTTTCTCTTCAACATGAGTGCAGTGTGGCTATGCAGACAGTGCATGTACAGGCCAACGTGCACAGATCGACGATGCTACAGTCCAGCCCCTCGGTTCTCATGCTCTAGGGCGATAAGATATATTATAGCTTTTTTTAATTTTAAAACAGGAAACATGATCTCCATGTTTCCTGTTTCCTGATCCAAAACAGAAAATGCAATCACAGCAGCGTCGTTTGTTTAAATTAGCACTGCGCAGAAACATGTACATGCATCCCAGAAAGCAATAAATGAGAATAATAATAATATAATAAATAATCACTATAAGTAATCACAAGTCATTCAGAGATTAGAAACCAAACAGCAATCAGCTTGCGGGCACAAGAAGCCATAACTACTCGAAGGACGAAACCCGAACCACTCACACCGTATGAATGCATTCAGATGGGCAAGTGAAAGCCACTGCACCCGAAGTGTGGCAGCAGATGCCAAGCAAGAGAAATGATCAAAAATGCATTAAGCATGGAGGCAGTGCTGTACATGTACGGTGAAAACCCCAAAAAGGTTACACTCCAGTAATACAGCTATAGTTGAAGTTGCTCAAATAATATCCAGCTCTGTAATTTATTCCATTCTATGAAAAACTTTTCAATATTGACTCAAGTCAGACGCTATAAGAGCCTGTGCATCTTGTAACGGGGCAATGGCACACAAGCAAAGGCTGTGTCACATTTTTTGCAGAAGGGAGCAGGAGTAGCATGCGTCACTTGAAAACTCTTGAGGGATCCGCAATTAATATGGACTTGGTGAGCTTTATGGTACACGGCCTTGTGATCACAAACAGAAAAGGACAACACCTGTGCTTGTGTTGATCCCTCCACCACTTCATATGCCATAGGGATCTTTTGCAAGGAACGAGATGGGCACTCGGACCAGAAGCCAGCAATGCACCTTATGTGCTTATGATTGAGCACTAATGCCCAGCTTTTTACATTCTTGTTCTAGAGATCGCCTCCGCTATCGGCCTGCCACTACAAGATTAGTCTCCCGCAAGGGCCGCGGCTAAAGGGGGCAAATTATCAAAGGAGGCCCTTCACATTCCTGAAAGGGATTTTGCATCACACATCGATACTGATCTCCTAACTGATTGAAATCAGGATGCCAATTCTGAAATCGGGTTTTTCTTTCATGGGGGGGGGGGGGGGGGGCATGTTAGCCAAGTGGGGACCACTGGGAATGACTCACGAAAGAAATGTTTGAAATGAGTTGCGTCTGAGTAGCTCAAAAATGTACTTATTGAAAAAGAAAAAGCAAAAGTATGGGACAGTGTGGTACATGTGGGGAGCAGCAACATTATTATTGGTGCCCCTTCAAGAATGCAGACAAGCTCATGGAACCCGAAGGCTTTAATGAATGGGCAAGCAACTCATCCCTCATCCTTGAGGCAGCATTGCAAAACAGTTTGGTACTAGACCAAACTGTTAGCAGGTAACAGTATGAAGTTGGGTGTGTTGTAAGACATAACTAATGACGTAGTGCGTTAAACTTGTGAGACACAGGACAAAGGCGAGAGCCCCCCTTCGTCCCTTTTTTTGTACTGTGTCTCACATATTTTACATGCTACATCATTAGTTGTATTAGCAGGCATTGTTGATGGCACACTCTCTGCTTTGCCAGGTGGTGGTACACATAATGGGGAACCGGTGGCTGAAGAACAGGAGCTCACAACAAGTCTGCAAGCCTTGGAAGTCATTGGACCACACCTACACTCGGGGCTTTACTCCAAGGTTAGTGCATTAGCTATCTTTTTTTTCCATCTGTGACAAAGGTTAGCAAGTTGCGGGAGGGGGGGGGGCAGTGGCGATAAAGAGACCTAGTGCGAGGCAGTGAAACTGCAGGGAATTTCAACAAAAGAAAGCGTCACTAGCACAGATCATCAAAACAATTCAAAATACACTCAAACCACGTTATAACGAAGTTGAAGAGGAGCCGCAATTATTTCATTATATTTGTTATTTTGTTATATTGATTATACCAGTTTGTTGCAATGTATGCTCAGAAACCACCTCGCGGCCCGATGTACCGCTACGTGACCACGCGTGCGACGGAAAATAAACACAGTTGAATTTCATTAATTCGAACACGCTTTACTCAAACTTCCGGTTAATTTGAACTCGCGCTGAGGTCAAAGCTAAGTGTATTCCAATGGGCGAAAACGCCCTGTAATTCAAACGGGTAAGCACTTGCGATGATTAATTTGAACATACCGCGCTCGGAAAATGCTCTCAGCACCATGCCCAATCTCGCGGCGGCACCTCTCAGCGCTCCGCGCGAAGAAAGAAAAGAAGAAAAGGAAAGAAAAGACTGTGGAGGATTGTTTGCTCTCTCTGAAGTGCCGGTCTGCGACGCGCCTCTACCACGCTTCTTCTTTTTCCGTCTCTGCACGTGGAGACCCTTCTCCTTTCAAGGCCGAGCGCGAAAAGAGAGGAAAAAAAAGAAGAAAGCTGCCACGGAGAGTCTTCCTTTCTCGATGCTGAAGGTAGCAGCAGATACGCTGTCGTTGTCATCGTGTTTAAGGCTGTTCTACGTGCTACCCGCACCGCCGCAACGCACGTGCCAGGACCCCTGCCTCAAGCAAGCGGGGGGCGAATAAGCCGATTGGCAGTGCTCTTTCACCCTCGGCTTGGGTGCGGCAGGTGTGCCGGCATGTGTGTTGCGGCTGTGTGGCTTAGCCGCCTGCTACTATGCTATGCAAACTACGTGCGAAATTGATTGACTCGCTGCAAGGCAAACATGTGCAGATGCGCATCACCGATTACTGCAATTAATGACCTGCCTCAATCCTCTCCGCTGGCCGTGTGAGGAGGACGGCTCTCTCAGCCTCGCGTGGCGTGGCTGTAAGGTCAGCGTGGGAGTTTTGAAAGAGCACACCCAACGAGCGGTAAACTCCACAGAAAACGATTTACTTAACACACTACGGTCGTTTTTTTTATAGACGATTTAATAGACTAATTTAGTTCATTATATCCATTGACTGGTCAATTTTACTTCGTTACAACAAGGTAAAAATGCATGGTTCTCAATGTAGCTTTCAAGGGGAATTTTATTTACTTCGTTATATCCATTATTTAATTATATTCAGTTACGTTATAATGAGGTTTGAGTGTAGACCAAAATATATAGTGCTGCAGGAAACTCTCGCGGATGAGATCAGGCTGTCCGGTTTTAACGTGGTCAGGAAAGGCAAAGATCAGGGCAGGATATTCGCTGCCCTAATTGACGAGAAAATTCTCTTCATAGAGCATGTTTTAAAATTAGGTTTGAGAAAAATTGGATATATATTGGTAAAAATGGTTCAAAAGAGGCAAAGAGGTAAAGTGCAGAGTTTGTTCTGCCTCAATGTCTATAGCAGTCGCAGCAAAATGGGATAAAGGTTCAGGGCAATCTTTAATAAGGCTGTGAGGGTAGCAAAACAGCTCCCATCTTGATAGGCAGAGATTTCAATGCCCCACGCCAATCTCGGGGTTACCACTGGAATACTAAAAAAGGGGAAGGCATTTGGCACCCTGCTATCGAGATAAGCCTCTCTCTTATCACGAGCCCTGCCATCCTCACTAAGTGTAGTACCTCCCTTTGTAGGGACACTAATCAAGATTTAACTTTCACTTTTACTTTGTAACGGCCACTTAAATCAACTTTGGCGCAGATCTGGAGAGGGACCACTATATTCTACACATAACAGTGGAAATGATGGGGTGGAAGTAAAAGGAGTTACATACATACATTGGGATTAGTTTAAGATAAATCGAACAAGACCAAGCGGAAACAGGACAGAAGCAGATCAGATTACCAGAGTAGGTAGCTCAGCTTGGGGATGATATGAATGCTGCAACTAAGGCTGTTCCTAACTCCAGAGAACGCTCCTTGTGCTGGTGACACTGGTTGAAAAAACTAAGATGGCTATGTTTAACTGGGTCAATGCGGCACTCTCGCTTGGTGCTTTGCTGAAGTTTCTTGATTGGGTTGTGGGACCGCGGTGCCTCGTCGAAAGAGAAAGGGTGCTGGCCACAAACAGTCTCATTCTTATTGGCATAAAGGATTTCACTATCGAAACAGCGGAAATGGTTGCACTGTGCACGTAAATATCTACCTTCTTCAGCGAACCGTATCAGGCTTACTTGAAGAACCTGTCTAGCGAGCCCAAGGTTGAATGCAACTGCTTAGATGGGCCTCTCGGAAAGGTGCTAGCACTTTTGCGTTGCGTTGCTACACTGGTACCAGGCAAGGCAAGGCCTTAACAATTTTTGAGGTAACTACGCTGTGACTCGTGCTGCCAGTTGCATATCCCATTGATTTCTTTTGTCTTATAAAAAGTTGAATACGCATGTCATTGACTTGATTGCGGTATGGAGCTATGTCTTTGCCAACGTATCTTCACTTTAGTTAAGGCAAATCGTAGTTATGACTGTCGTAGGAGTGCTCCTTTCTTTTATGTCACCAATGTATGTTATTAGGTTTCAAATAAATAATGTTGCAAGTTTTAATCACTCGCTTATTTGTGTTGGCAGCAGTTGATATTCAAAGAAGATTATGCATGCACAGTGCGCATTCTACGAATGCACGGGCATGATATATATATGCTCAAACATACACACACGCTACACATGCACAACCTTGACGCACGTGTGTCCGCACATGTATATACACACATGCAAAATAAAAAATGTCTGGGAGGAAGGATTACAGCAGCTCAATTTGAGAATGGATAGCTCTACTACTTGCGCAGAAAACAAGCATATGCGAAAAATAATCACACACGTGATGCATCCACCTTCCTAAAGTGCTTGCTTATATAAACGAAACTATACTTTGCATTTAGATATGCCAGAATATTGAACAGAAAGCACACACTCTTAAATAATGGTGTACTAACTGAGAAGAATCAAGTCGTTGTGAGTAAATTGATTGGAACAAACTACCATAATGTCCATCACCTTCTTTCCATTGCGTAAGTTTCCATTTCGCACCATTCTCTATCGCGCATCGCCTGCATTCTTTGGGAAGCGATTCAACGATACCTTAATTGCCATTTTTCCACCGTGATCTCACACATTGTGGCACACTGCAATGGTCTTTGGGCATTGCTTTCTTTTTTTTTCGGGCTTGCAAGTGCGGCATAGCGTGTGTTTTCAGTGTGTTTTACTGATAGTTCGGATACACGAGGAGGAGGTGCTTTCGTAGCTGTCAGCTAGGAGTTATTGTGTTCCGTTCTTAGTACAGTGAAATTTCGTTAGAGCTAACTCCTCATGAACGAACTTTTCAGAATAACAAACTTTTAAAAAATTCCGTGCCAACTGCTAATAGTTTCAATGTAAAATATTTCACTACTACATACTTCAAAATACCAAACTTTTCAGAATAACGAGCGTTAATTTAGTTTCGCGTTATATTAACAACGCCTCAGTACTACGAACTTGTGTTCTGAAATCCATCACGACCAACGGAGCGGTATGCAAGAAGACGACAAAGCGAACGAACGCCTTGCTTTTCAAAAGACGTGCGACAGTGTGTAGGGGAAAAAAAAAAACACGAAAGGGTGACTTTCTTTTCTTTTCTCTTTGTTGAAACGCCGACACTGCACGTGTACAAGTGAGCGCAGAGGCAAGGGCAACACGAGATGGAAAGGTCAGCGAGGCAGAGTGGGAGTTGCGGAGCAGGAAGCATGGGCGCGGAAAACCTGAGATACCTGGAGAGCAGAAAAGAAAATGCGAGGAATTTTCTTCTTTAGCACTTTTTTTTTCTTCGGAAGAGGCGATGACAGCCGTGATGCTTCGGGTTTTTCTTTGGGGGCCTTGTTTTTTCGGTCGTGTTAATCTCTTTTCAGTGATTACTTATTGGGTTCGCAAAGCAAGTCTGCGTTCGCGCTGCGGTGATACTACAAATGAGTTCATCTCTGCTTGCGACGAAGAAGCGGAAGCAGTTTTCGCTAAGTGAGACAATGGATACTCTTCGGCAACTGTAAGGCAAAAAGCAGGCTCTTGGGACCAAAGAACAGAATCGCACCACAGGAATGTGGATGAGCTGGAGTCCTTCGCGCTGCAAAGTTTGTGCTGCTCGCATCAGACTTTTTTAAAGTAAGTGTGCATTTTTTGGTGTTTACTTGTGCATTTGTTTTTTTTTCGTGAAAAACGAACTCAAGGACCCATCGTTGTAAAGGTAAGTCGTTTTGGTCGATGAAAAGTTAGTATTTATGGCTAATTTTCGAGCTTTCACTGTAACGACCTTTCAAAGTAACGAACAAATGTCCGCAGTCCCCTGAAGTTCGTTATACCAAGATTTCACTGTATCAGGTCAAACTTAGACTTTTCATTCATTGTCATGCGGCCTCACAGTCAGTACTTGCGGGCGTTTGCTATAGGCCCCTTCGCTACGGTAACCTAGTTTTCGCCATTGAGCTAAACAATGCACTCTGCATATAACATGGTAGCACACCAAGGATATCTTTATCCTTTTTGGGGACTTCAATTTTCCAGACATCTATTGGCAGAACTTAGCTCCCCAAATAGTAAATCAGACGGAGGTAAAAAACTTTCTGGACGTTTGCCTTGATTTTAATCTTACTCCACAAGTGCCATAACCAATGCATATCACACAAGATGTAGTTAACGTATTAGTTTTAATACTAACAAACCAACCCGAGAAATTATCGTCACTCACCTACCTAAAAGAAATCAGCGATTATAAGGTCATTTACATGTTCTTTAACTTTAGTGCAGTTTCGCGCTTG